TTGTTGTTTGGCAGGTCCGGGCTGGGGATTCGAACCCGCCACCTTAGGTGTATGTGGCTGGCGCCTTAGCCAGTTGAGCCATAGGCGCCGAGCCACCTTTCTTCATTTTTAAAGGCTTTCTTTCCTTTTTTTCTTTTAAAGAGACTGAGCGATAGCCTAGGGTTTAGAGCCATACTTGCCACAGGGAATTGCCTTGGGCTTTCCTTTGCCATTTTGCCCTTTTTTTGGAGCTGGCTTCTTGGTCTCTAATTATTAGCGCATTCAACTTTTTCTCAAACATGTGGAAATCCAATTGAATTTTCTTGGAGGAAAGGGCAATGGAAAGGACCTTTTTGACTGAAAAATACCAGAAAGAGGCAGTACCAATCCTTTACCATCATAAAAACAAAGCACGCAAATCACAAGGAAAGAGAGAGAAAGTGGCAGGGGTCTGTAGAGATAAGTAGAAGAGGTTTGGGACCATGGAAAATAGGACCAGATAGTAAACAATCTGGGATAGTCTGTTTTTCAGAAGGCCCTCCAGTGCTGTGGGGTCAGAACCATTGCAAGGTATCCCAGGACTTCTGGGTGCTTCTTCTGTTTGCTCAGCTCTCAAGCCTTCTAGCACTCCCTTTCACTCCTCTCTTTGGAACCAAGGGAATTAGAAAGTTTGTTCCCCAACAGCCTCTCACCTGGAGGTCAGCAGCCACACTATGTGCTTTTAGGGGCTGACAGGCATTTGAATTATTCGTTTCCATTTCATGATTATAGAAAAAACAAGATACAGGTAAGTGGTCCCATTGCTTACCACAGATCTTCTATCCCAGACAAGCCCCCAAAATATGGTACCAGAATTTCATCTTCAGTAGGTCCCTGGTCTTGGAGATTCCAAGAGTGAACCCACAGACCACAGATCAGTGGTAAGATAGGATTTTATTAGACAGAAAGGAATACAAAAGTAGTAAAAAGGCACCAGAAACCTAAGTTGGAAGTCTCTCCCAAAAAATCACTCTTTACCTTCAAAAAGTAGGAAGACACAATTCAAATGAGACCAGGAACATAGAGATAAAAGGAACATAAATTGTATATTCACTCTGGAGGCATTTCTCAAATTAGGAAAATGTGAATCTTGTTTTAATGTCCTCATGATGAGAGAAGAGGAAAAAATCAAAGCCCTGGTGTGATACAAGAAGGTGAATTTGGAAGAATACATTTCTCACATAAGTGGAGCTTCAAAAGGCTGTCTCTCTCAGGGTGAGAATAAACTTAAGTGAAGGAGCCTGCAAGAGCAACTTTATCTTAAATTTAAATGCCTTGGTAACCTTGAGCCCCACAACCCCTGAACTTCATTTAACATGATTGTCAACAAACAGGATCCAAAGCCTCTTCTCTGAAGAAGCCTACCTTCTTCAAATTCTACGATCATTATTTCAAATATGATGATCAATGTGCAGGCAAAGATAACCAAGCAAATGAAATCACTTAACCCTGCAAGTGAAAACCAGCAAAAATGACAAGCAATATAATAGATACAGATACGGCAATGATCAGACACACCATAAAACAACCAGGCTTGCTATGTTTAATAAACAGAGTAATTTATTAACCATGGAAACACAATGAAGAATCCCAAAGTGTGAAAAGATAGGGTTTATTAGCAGATCAGAATCTAGGTCATGGCAGTGTAAGTGGAGTGCCTCTATGGGTTTGCTTTTGTGACTCTATATAAGTCTAAGTGCCTCTATGGGTTTGCTTTTGTGACTCTCATAAGTCCCACTTATGTCTCTTTTAAATCCTGATCCCTATCTCACTCAAACACTGCCCATGGCTCCCTATCACTCACAAAGAAAATATCTATACTTGGGCTTTGGGACAACCTGCCATCAGCGTAGGGACCCTGTGGCCAGCCAGAGAGGCAGTCAGGGCACATGGACTTACATCACACCGCCTCCACCCAGCCAGTCTCACCCGCATATTCCTACAGTCCTTGAGCGCCCCCTGCCGGGGGGTGATGCTCAAGCAGAGGTGACAGTTTTATTCTTGAGAATCTGAAAAGGTAGGTGGATGGCTGGGTTCGGAGCGGGTCTAAAGACAGACAGCAGTGAATCACTACTGGCCCACGCTCAGCGGTTCCACCCGCAGCCAAAGGCCGTCCTCCGTGCGCAGGACCAGCTCCGGCTTCCTGCGCGGCTCTATGTGGTCACACATGATGCGGAAGCGCAGCAGCGTGAGCGCCAGAACCACCTTCATCTCAGCCATGGCGAAGGTCTGCCCGATGCAGTTCCTGGGAAAAGAGGGGGGGGCGTGACTGCACCTAGCATTCCCCATCACGCCTGGAACTTCACACCATCTAGTTCATATTTGATAAGAAGGGGGGATCTAAGCTCCCTGTGACAACCCCCTCTCCCCCACCACGTGGCCTTGCATTTGCCTGGATCCTGGCTGGTCCAGACTCCAACTCCCTAACTCAGACCAGCAGATGAGAAAGGGGACCCTAAGCACAACTCTTTTCTGATCTTATTTAAACCCCTGAATCCTGAAACACATTGCCCAGCAAGTCAAGTTCTGATCAGGTTGCCACCTGGACAACCTTCACCCCATCCCTGCCTCAGATCCCCACTGGCCTCACCTGGGCCCCGCCGAGAAAGGAATAAAAGCCAGAGGTGACCTGGTCTGAGGGTTTTCCGGGTCGAAACGGGAGGGGTCATAGACCTGGGGATGGGGCCAGACAGGGCTGCTGGATGAGATCATTCAAGACACTCAGCCACCCCAAGAAAAGACAAATGTGGACACAGTGGAAGGAAGTGTCTGGTTTCTCTGGTCAGGACTCCTCCCCCTGACCAGATCCCAGGATGGAGAAGGGAGAGAGGCAGCACCTCGGGATCCGACCAGACTGACGGGTTGTGATGAATCCCAAAGATGCTGATGACACAGATGTTCCCTGTGATGAGGAGGGGACAATTAGGACAAGGTCCACTCTGCCTGATGGGACTGCCAACCTGCCCAGGAGCCTCCTGCCCCCTGCCATTGTGAGTACCTTTGGGGATGACTAGGCCATCTGGGAGCACAATGTCCTGGTTACAGCAGCGGGACATGACAGTGACTGGGGGATGCAGCCGCAGACTCTCTTTGATGCACATGGTCAGGAAGGGCAACTGGGCCAGGTCCTCCCTAAGGAAACACCCCAATTGTTGTCCAGGGAGTAAACACAGCCATGTTGATGCCCCCATGAAACCCTCTCAGCACCTCCCTCTGACCCTCAGTCCTATAACAAAATTAATTCCAGAAGAATCAAGGGTAGGCATCAGAAAATCAAAGTCACAAAAGTGCTAGAAGAAAACTTGGCCTTTATTTTTCTATGCATTTCTGAACAAAACACAGCACTCAGAAAGTATCCTCTAAAATGTTAACACATTGGCATGAAAAACTTTATAAAAATTTTTTATAATCAGCTAACAAAAGCAAAAAAGAAATTTCTTAAAAAGCTTATGAAATTATTTTGATAAATGAGATTCACTCCACAATGTAGGGTAGGATAACTTAATATTTTTAAAGTGTCATTTATTTATAAATTCATCAACATATTCAGTGAAATCCAATAAAAATCTAGTTAGGTTTTTGTTTTTTAAATGCTAGTGTTTTTGGAAGAACAAAGTTCATCAAGACTAGGTTAATTTAAAAATAAAAGATCAAAGGTCACCTTAATCTTCCCCATAATGTTTAATTTCATGAAAAAAAAGGAAAAAATGATCCCATGATTGATTCTATAATTCAAAATTAATATTTCAAATCTTTATGTTGAAAACAATAAAAAGATCTTGAAACTATAGTGTCATTGTGCCTGCCTGAGTGCTCTGCATTCGGAAAAAGAGAGAATGAAAGAACATGCAAGAGGAGAGAAACTATGGATAGATGAATGTAAATATAAAATGAACATTGCCTAGAAGCACACAGGAAGCCATCAAAGGTAGGAATGGGTTTAAAGTGCTGGCACAAAATGGAGGCTTATATTCATTGTAACCTTTTTAAATCTTACTGGGGGTATAATTTTTTGAAGTTGGAAGGTACATAAAATCATCTCTCCACATCATAGGACTGCTTGCAGAACCTTGAAGTTGAGGGTACTACCTCCAAAATGTTTGTCCACTCTAACATGTCCTCTCCATACCTCAGCCTATGGCCCAGAATCTGTCCCCTAGACTCCTAGTACCAAGCTATGTCCCTCCACTTTGCCTCTATAGCCACAGAGAGGTACGGATCTAGCCTTGCCCTCCCCTGCTCAAACATCTCCCATGGCTCCCCATTTCCTTCCTATGATAGTCATGGACATTCCTTCAAGAAAGAATTTGCTTTCCAGCTGTAAGAGCAAAATGAGCTGCCAGTCCCCAGATATAGGTTCTTCAAGTTCTACTGCGCTGTTCAACCAGGGCCACACTTTGGGGCTGCCCCAGCCAATGAATGAGCATGGTTGTGCCCTAGTGCCTCACCATTTACCCTCAATGTCTGACTTCCCTAACAGCAGCCTCCTTGCCCACATTTAGCTTTGATCTCATATCAGCTTCCCAAAGGACTTGAACTGGCATGCCTCACATTAAAGTCCAATCTCTTTACATGGTTCCCAAAGCATTCCAAGAAGGGCTTCTGTTACCTGCTCTAGCCTCACTGGGGACTCCTACCTGTTCCACACATTGTGCATTTCACAAGGATTCAGGCATTATTACTTCTCCTTATCCCCCAAGACACACCAAGATGTTTTGTGCATGCCTCCAACCTGAATTTTGCATATCTTTTCCCTTCAGTGGAAGCACTTTCCTGTAGTCACACCCAACATAATGAATTTACATTCACTGTTTGACTTCCCACTCTTGCCCTCTTTCCTTCCGCTCCAGGGTTGCTGACATAGGATTAATATGAGACTGAACACTGAGAAGGGAAAGGGCCACCAGTGTGGATGTGTTTACTAAACAAAGAGATCGATGATGTTTACTCACTAGGATTTTTGTTAATCTGTGGTATAGATGATAAAGTGAGAATTACATGGAAGAGCAAAAATGGAAGGAAATGAGTCTTGGAATATAATACAACTTTATCCAGAAAAGCAAGGGGATGAAGCAACAGTTGCTTCAGAGAATCCATGCTAGGAGACATCTGCTGTACATACATTGTCACCAATTCTTCAAGCAGCCCGGGGCGGGAGGGGTACATATTTCTCCCAATTTACAGAAGACCAAGTACTTCAGAATAGGGAATTTATTTCTCTAATGTTGCATAGCAACTTGCTTATTTATGCAAGGCAACAAATATGGATGTCCCAATGATTCTGTTCCCTTGCTATTCAGGCTGAGTAGAGGGCCTGCTTCTGGGCTCTGCCCCTATTTCCACTAGGCAATCGTAGCAAAATAAAAACAGAAAAACCTTCTTCTCCACTTTCTACCTGAGGAGCAGAGCCAATGAGAGAGCTCAGGAATAGACCATGAGGACCTGCACTCACCATTCAATCTCTTTAGGCTCCCGGTCTCTTAAGAGCACTCGCACCTCCTCCCGGCAGTGCTCCTGGTATTCTGAGTGCCTTGCAAGGTGGTACAGGACCCAGGAGAGACCACTGGCTGTGGTGTCATGGCCTGAGGAGCAGCCAGGCAGACTTGAGTATCTGGGCTGCTTCAGCACCCAAGATATCCTCAGAGAGGATGAGGGGTGGAAGAGGACAGGGAGAATAGAGTGATCCAGGGTCCACCCACCACATCTCTGGGATAGAGGGGCCCCTCTCCCCACTGTAGTTCCAAAGTGGGACACTTACCTGCAAACATGAAGGTATCAGCCTCTGCTCGTATATCCTTGTCTGACAACTCCTTCCCATTTTCATCCTAGAGACAAGACAAAATGTGAGTCACACTATCTTTGAGAGCACCTGAGTCTACCCTGAAACAATCCCTAAAGACTCATCATCCAAGAAGGACGCCTCCCTTGCCATCTCCAAACCTGCTCCACAGGCTTCCTCCCTGCTCTCCTTCCTCCTTTTTTCCTCCCCCTAGGCCAACTTCTACTGAGTCACCTCAAAAATTTATCTGTCTTGTCTCTCCCTTCCTCAAGCATCATCCATAGTTCCCCAGTGCCTTCTGAATGAAGACCAAGTTCCTCAATCCAACATTTGAATCAAACTCCATTCTAACTCTTGGAGCTCAGATCCCAGAGATGCCTACCTTGGCCAGTAGTAACACATCAATGAAGTCCAAAGTCTTGGACTTGGCTTTGGCTTTGAGGAAGTCATCAATACCCTGGCTCTCAAGGGTGCGGCGCCGTTTCTGGATGACGGCATCTGTGAACTCGTGCACCACATCACAGTCCCTGCAGAAGCGCTTTCCATCGGGAGTGAGGTAGTACAGGAAATCCGTATACAGAAAGATCTGTCGATTTCGTTTTACTACAAGGGCACTGAGCTCCAAGATGGCAGCAATATATTCACTAGGATTCCTGCAGGGCCAGGGCAAAGAGAGGAGGCATGTCCCTAACACACATGAAACCCTGAAACCACCATGCCAGGACCATGTTCCATTCATAAAAGAGTGCCTCCAAGCCTGCTTCTATCTCTGCCCCCCATTATCTCTGAGCCACCTCGTGCCCCAGGTCCCCAGGGTAGAGCTTGGGTATCATGCTTATTTTATCTCTTACTCAGCATCTGTTCCTACCTATTTTTCCTCATTTTTTCTGAAATATACTCTATTTTCTCCACCAAGCTCAGACCTCCTCTTCTCCAGGTCTCTCTACATCCTGTCTCTACATAACAGTCAACCCTCTACAGAGTCAAATGTCCAAGCTCAGCTCTGATCAAGCCCTTTGCCTGGCTTTCAGTGTACCTGAGATCTAGCCAGTGCTGACCGCCCCCCATTGCCAAGGTGTCTAATGCCTGTTCCAAATGTTCTGCTCATCCTAGCTTCCTTACCTTCACTCACACACTTCCACCTACCTGAAAGAGCTGCTCTTTCTCTCTCCCCTTCCCTGTCCAATGCCCAGCTATGATCCACCTCCTCCAGAAAGGACTTTCTAATTGCTCTGGCCAGTGCCCCCTCCTCACACTTGCAATTGCAAGGACTCACTCCTGACAATTGCTGTTGAAGCCGAAGACACATTTCTGAAGACTGTCCAAGGTCATGAGGCTTATGTGCTCAAACATGTCCAGATAGATACTGTCTTCTGAGGCCAGGCGCTGCCACTTGGCCTGGCCAGAGAAGGGGACAAAGCTGAGGTTGAACCCTGGATCCCTGAGCCCCTCCCCAAACCCAGCTACCAGGACGGACTCTCCAGAACCAGCCACCTGGTCCTCTGCCCCAGGCACCCTTCCCCAGGGAGCACCAGGCTTGGGTGGGACAGGAAGGTGTCTTCAGAGATGAAGACCCAAAAGATGGGAGACAGGAGACCAGTTCAAGTTTCACCTCTGTCTCCTATGCTTGAAATGCCCTTGGTCAACTCATTGGCCTCCCCTAGGCCCCACCTGTCAAATCTTCATTATCACTTAAGTTGACCAGCTTTAGTGCCACATAAATAAGGCCAGGACTCCTGCTCCACCACTCCTAACTCACTTATTAGCTGGACAATCTTGGTCAACTTCCATAATCTCTTTGGCCCCCCAGTGTCATCATACATAATGTGGTGATTATAATCATCTCTACCTCATAGGGTATTGAAAATTAAATTAGACACTGTCTATCATGGATTGGCACATAGCCTTGCTTCTTATGTAAGGTGAATGCTTAATAAATTAGCTTTCCTCATCTCTACTGATTACAAAAATATCCTTTTGATGGGAGAGGTAGTTGTTGGCTCTAAGCATCCTCACTGTGTGTGCTAAAGATGTTCTTAACCCAGGCCATTTCTCAGACTTGGGTTTGCAGAGAACAGCCTTGAGGGATAAGGTAATGAATCCCCATAAATCCATATCAGGCTTTCATCTCCTTGCTATAAAAGCAGATTCCCTAAGCCTAATGCCCGTTACATGTAACATAATATATGACTTGAGCGGGCATCTGCAAAGCCCACCTGTTAACCCTGCAGGATTTGTGTGGCTTGGACTTACAAATGCAAATGAACAAGAAGCACGTGCTGCTTGCTGTACCATGATAATAAACTGCCCTTTGTCTCACCCAGGAGTATGGTGTCATCTAGGAGAATCTAAGTAACAGTAGCAAGCTAACTTTTCCACTTGCTAGTAAAAGAAAACAAAACAACAACAAAAACGTAGACACTTTACAAAAGCGTAAACCCCAGTTCTTCATTTTTTCAACAACTCTGTTAAGAAAAAGGAGTCTGTTTTAACCCTCCCTCCTTTGATTCTGTGTTGGACTTTTTACCTTCCTTTTCTGCTTTTGGCCAATACAATGAGGTAAATAATAATAACTCTAATAAACTAAGTTCCAAGAGGCATGCAGCCTCCTCTCACTCTCTTGGAGCCCTGTCTCTGCCATGTGAACAGCTCTTCTGGAAGGAGAGAATCCCATGGAGCCCAGTCCTGCTGTCCCAGCTGAGGCCATCCTAGATCAGCCTGATGCCAGCCAAGCCCCACACAGACGAGAGACTGAGCCAGGATCAGCAAGGCTGTCTGACTCATAGCTGATCATACACCATGCACCCCCTCCACATCCTGAATAGCCATCCCACTGTCCTGTGGACATGTCAGCAATCATAAATTCTTATTTTGAACCAATGAATTTGGAAAAGGATAGTGTGCAGCAATAGCTACTGCAAAGTCTTCACCATCACTGTCTTGAGCTTATAGGGTTTCTGTGAGAGAAACACAGAAACTGACACCTTTTGAGCACCTACTTTGTGCCAAGGACAGGGTTCAATTACATCATCTTGACCTCCTTCTAAATAGGTATTATTACCTCCATTTTACAGATGAGGAAACCAAGGCTTGGAGAGGAAGAGCAATGGTGCCAAAGCCAACCCACAAAGACAAAACTTTAGACCAAATCTATCTGAGGCCACTCTCCCTTCCGAGAGGCTTCCACTGGGACCCGGGGCTCAAGGAACTCACATGCATGATGTTTGCACTCTCATTGAAAACTTTCACATAGGGCTTCAGGATGTTGAAATGGAAGGCAGGTGTCAGCATGCGACGGTGATGGCTCCACTTGTCGCCACCGCTCAGCAGGAGCCCATCCCCTAATAGTGAAGTCAAGGGCAGTGGGCAAGGAAAATGCCTTCCTGTGAGCCAACAAGGTTGTCCATATCCTGGTCACCTGTAGTTACTCACCCAGCCAGGGCTTCAGGAAGCTGCTGAAGATCACATCCTTGGATGCAATGGTGGCTGACATGAATGAAGACCATCAGAGGACATGGAGAGGTGGGAGGAAGAGGCTTGGTGAGGGGTGGAGGCTCCCAACCAGGGTTTTGCACGTCCTCCCCTCCAAGTCCAGCATAGCAGGAGGGGAGCTGAGGGTAGAGGAAGCCTTAGGGAGGAAAGGAAGAAGAGAGGGGGAGCCCAGAGCAGACTGCAGGAGCACAGTAGAGCAAAGACATGTCCTAACAAGGCACAGCACACTCCATCATAACTTGACATGGTTCCTATATGGTGCAGCATGTCTTGCAATATGGGAGCTCAAAGCAATATAGCTCCCATATAGCTCAAAGCACTACAAAATGCCTTTAGAGCAGTGGTTCTCAACCTGTGGGTCGTGATCCACAGGAACTGTATTAAAGGGTTGCGGCATTAGGAAGGTTGAGAACCCTGCTTTAGAGGAAGCCAGGACACGCTGTCTGCTCCAGAACTTTCTGACTTCTGACATGGCCCTAGGACATGTGACATGGCCCTGACATGTATTGGCATGTCCTGACAGGACTACTAAATACACGACTACCCCTTGCATCACACGAGATGCTCCACAATAGACCTGAGATGATTTGACACTACCTCAACATGCTGCAAAGATGGATCCCAAACAGGGGTCCATGTAAAAATGGTCCCTTTAATGTCCCAGACATGGGCCAAGTGTGACCCAAATTGCTCCTCAAGCATGATATGAACATATCCTCCATCAGTCACATGTCTTCCTTATTGCTGTGGGTCTGGAGACCAAGAAGATTTATGTCAACCCTGGCAGGAGACCTTGAATACCAACGATACCTGCTGCATTACCCTGATTTCTGCTTTAAAAAATCCCTACTCTTGGTTTGGCACCTGTAGCTCAGTGGCTAGGGCGCCAGCCACATAAACTGGAGCTGGCAGGTTCGAATCCAGCCTGGGCCTGCCAAACAACAATAACAACTACAACCAAAAAATAGCCAGGCATTGTGGCGGGCCCCTGTAGTCCCAGCTAGTTGGGAGGCTGAGGCAAGAGAATCGCTTAAGCCCAAGAGTTTGAGGTTGCTATGAGCTGTGATGTCACGCACTCTACCCAGGGCAACAACTTGAGACTCTGTCTCAAAAAAAAAAAAAAATCCCTACTCTTTATTTCAGACCCAGCTTTAGTAACTATTCCTCTCCTCTGCCACAGCAGTGACCTTATTTCTCATTTGAGCTGTCACAGCCCATTCCTAACCACACAAAGTTGGGGGTGCCTCTGTCCAGATCCATCTCCTCTAGCTTGGAGATTCTTCCAGGACAGAGCCCTGGATTGAGGCCTCCTAGGGCCCCTTCCAAAAACACCGGGGAGGGGATGATGCAGATGGCAGAGCAGGGAGGAGACCCTGAGGTGGGGGCTGGTGAGTATGTGAAGGGAAGAGAAAGATGGATGAAGGAGGAGAGGGAAGAGGGATCAGGGTCCTGCAGGGGCTATCCAGGAACTTGAAGGAGGCATCAAATGTGTCACGGTGCCCATCACCACAAGCTCTGTATAGGTACCTGAAGCACTGAGGACAGACCGGATGAAGTCAGGGTGGTACAAAGTGATGATGGGGATGGTGGGACCCATCCACCTCTTAAAGCCCCAGGGGTAGGTGACGACCAGCTGAGTCAGGTCCCTCATGCCCTCCTCCGTAGGGGGGATCTGCAAGTAAGACAGGAGCCGTCACCTCCTGTGGTGGTTAATTGTAGGTGCCAACATGATTGGGCTAAGGAACGCCCAGATAGCTGGTCAACATTATTTCTGGGTGTGCCTTTGAGAGTTTCCAGAAAAGATTAACATTAGAATTGGTAATCTGAGGAAGGAAGATCTGCCCTCCCCACTGTGGGCAGGGACCATCCAATCCATTGATGTATTCGTGAAAGTTTCTGGAAGAGATTAGCACTTGAATTGGTAATCTGAGGAAGGGAGATCCACCCTCCCCACTGTGGGTGGGCACTATCCACCGAGGGTCATAATAGAACTAAAAAGCAGAGGAAGGGGGCCTCAGCTCTGTCTTCTAGAGCTGGGACATCTCCTGCCCTTGGACATCGGAACTCCAGCTTCTCAACGTCTTTGGACTCAGACTGAATTACAGCATTGGCGTCTATGGTTCTCCAGCCTGCAGATGGGATATCATGGAACTTCTAGGCCCCCATAAATACTTGAGGCAATTCTCAATATAAATTCCCTCGTCTCTCAATAGATAGAAAAATAGAAAAGCAGACAGGTAGGTAGACAATAGGTAGATAGATGACTGGATAATGGATAGATGTTCAATAGACAGATCAATCCTACTGATTGTTTTTCTGTGGCAAACCCTGATTAATACATTTCCCCAAGAGAAGCCACAGCAGGTTCTCCCTGCAGCCTGCAGAGGTGGGGAGGCCTCTGCAGTGAACAGTGTATCCAGACTCTGCACAGGAGAAAATACCTGCTTCCTCCTGCTCCTTCGCTCAGTGCCATCTCAAAGTCCCCAAGGGTGCATTTCAGGGCACAGGGAGATGACATGTCATCTGCTCACAGAGAGGCACACTTTGGCTGAAGAGAAAGGATTTTTCTTGTCCTTGGAGCAGTTCCAGCCCAGAAGCAGCCATATGGGGAGTTTGTAGGCAGCAGTGTGATCTCGCAGCATATCCCTAGGGCTTGTTTCAACAAACCTGCATGTCCTGGCTGCTCCATACAGGCTCTCCTTTCAAGAAGGATCAGCACAGCAGGCACATTCCAGCCTCGGCAGACACCAGAAATGCAGAGATGAACTCTAACTATCTGTCAGGATGGTGAGTCCCGTCTGTGACCACCTTGGCATGACAGACTCTGTGTATTGTGCATCTTCTGCACCTTCCTGTTGAACCTATGGGCACTTCCATCCCTCCTGCCATTGCAAATGAACAGACTGAGGCCGAGTCCCCCAAAGGAGAGACAGATCTGAGTCAGAGGGCAAAGACTGGGGAAGGAGGGTTAAGAAAGGCTCCTGAAAGGGGAAGTGAGTGGGCAACACTCATCCAGGTTGCACAGCAGGACCCTTTGAGACATCTTTGTGCGGAAGAGCAGCATAAAAGGAAGGTGCTCCCAGGAAGGGCAGGGGATGGGACACTGCCCACACTTCTCTCCTGGCCCACCTGTGCTCCCTCTGTATTTGAGCTGGGGTTCACAGTATGGTAGCTAATTCCTGTGGAAAGCAGCAGCCCCAAGAGGGGCAGACGTAGGAAATGGACCAGGCAGGGAGCAGACCTTGGACAGTGCCCCTTTGGAGGGCTCAAGTTCAATAGTGGAGACTATAGGAACACCAAGGGGTCCCTGTTCTGGGTAGCCTCCTCAGGAGCCCCTCAAGTGCGCCAGTGTAAAAAGATAGGCAGGGAAAAGATCCTAAGCAGGCTGAGGGTCGGGGACAAGGAGGTGAGAGAGGGCCACGCAGACTTCAGTTCCTTTCAAGAAGGATGTCTCGCTTCTAGGCCCTCCCAGACTCCAGACCACCTAGAATCGCAGCTCCCTGAGCCCCTTTTCTGGCCCCAGGAAAAGTCCACCCACCCTGACACCACAGATTCATCCTGCTGCCACACTCACCAGGCCCAGGTGACCCCAAAACCAGCTCCGCATGGGGGGCTGTGGGAAACAGTGGAGGCGGCGGCAGTTGTCATAGAAAGTGTAGGTCCACGTCAGGATGCGGGCTAGCAGCCAGGAGGCCCCGACCAGCAGCAGCAGCAGCCATGAGGCAGCTGCCACCGGTCCCAGGCCCAGCCAGAACAGGCTCAGCTGTGGCATCCTGCAGAACAGAGGGGTGGAGGGGGAGTTCCTGAGGCTCAGGGGAGAGGAAGGTGTTAGGCCAGTGCAGAGGGGCAGGGAAAGGAAGGGCTCAGAGATGGGGAAGCAGGGACTGAGAGCAGAGAAGGAGACTCAGGGACCCCAGGGAAGAGGCAGAGTGAGAGAGAGAAAAAGGAATAAGAGAAAGAGGAGGAGGAGCATCGGAGGAGGAGGAGAGAAAGGAGGAGGAAGAGAGAAAGCTGATTACAGTCCAGTATGGCCCGTCTGAATCACTGAGACATTGCCAGGGGTTCAGTTACCAGGAAGCCAGCATTCCCAGGGCCACATCGCTGGAGCAACCCCAGCCTTGGGCAGCCCCTCCCCATTCCAAGCCAAGACCCTCCAGCCGCACCTGCCCCCAGCCTGGCATCTTCTCTCCAGAGCAGCTTGTTTCACACAATCTGCCATCCCCCAGACCCCGCCTCTGTGTTGGGAAGTCTTTGCCCCTGGCCTCTGATCCAGGAAACACTGCTGGGGGGGATGAAGTAGACTGAAACGGGCTATTTCCTCTATGACCAGGCAAGAGGCCAAAACATGGGTACGGGAAAGTCTGGGTGCAGAGGAATGCACTTAGGTGACCCAGCATAGGCACTAAATCCCCAGGACTCGGCCTTACTCACATGTGGTAGAAGTAAGCTGAAGCTCCAAAGTTTGTAGAAACCCTGTCCTTCCAAGACCAGGGTGCAGCACGTAAAAGCATGAATGAACTTGAGAATTCAGATGACAGATGAGCAGAGCCAGGCCAACCTTTGCCCCACATCAGCTGCTGAGCTCCTGTCCTAGCGTGGACCAGAGTACCATTTCTTGGTGTGGAATTAGGAGGTTGAGAGACCAAAGCCTTTGATCACTGCCGCCTAGCCTGTCAGGCTACAGACATGACTGCTAAGAGGAGGAACAAAGAATTCGGCCTCCCTGGGGGTTACCTGGGTCAGATTCTGGCAATGAAGAGCCCAGCTGCAAAGGCAAACCCGGAGACTGGACTTAGTGTCCAAGGACAGAGGGGAGACCTGGGGGGGTAAGGTTGAGATGGGGCATGAACAGACAGGGTCCACACAGGGGAGGGCAGAGCTAGGGGACACTGAATGGAGTCTTCATACTGCCTTGTCTTTGCTCTGAGTGTGAGCCACCCTGGAGTAGGTCTTCTCATCTGGGAAATAGGATACATGTCAAATGAGGTCCTTAGTGGGGGACAGAGGAATGCTCTAGAAAGGAAGGAGCCTCCAAAAGAGGCAGCAAAGTGGGGAGGCTAAAAACAAGCACTCGAGCTGCTGTACTCTGTGCAAAAGGCTGCATCAAAGTGTTTCTACTGTGGCTAAATACTTTCCATAAATTGGGCCTACTGCCTGCAGGGCTCACTATACATAGTACATGTACTGTGTGCCACTTGCTATCCATTTAGTGTGCCTACTGTGTGTCAGGTACTTTACATAAATGCTATATGAGTGCCTGATATTCTAAACAAAGCATGCCTACTGTGTGCCTATTGTCTTATATCAAGCATACCTAGTGGATGCTGGCTGCTCTATACAAAGTCTCCTGTGTGTTAGCTGCTCTACATAAAGTAAACCTACTCGGTGCAAAGCACTTCATGTCAGCATGCTTACAGTTCAGGTTCACTACCTGAACTGTAGTTCTCTACAGTATCTCTGAGATAGTTCACTATCTCAGGTTCACTACCTGAAGTGCACCTACTCTGTCAGATCCACTCCATGAAGTGTGCCTACTGTGTGCCAGGTGCTCTACGTGAAGTTCACCTGCTTTTTGTCAGATGCTCACAGGCTTCACAATACCCACAGCCTTCCCACCACCCTCCCTTCAGCTCTCTGAGACAGAGCCCTGTGGACTGGGTGGAGAGATCCAAGTGACAGCATCCAGAGGGGGAAAGATGCCCATTTAACAGAAGAGCAGATTGAGGCTCAGAAAGAACAAGCTCCTAGTTGCAGAGCTCAACAGAACTTGGGTCTATCAAGCCCAGACGCTTTCCCTCTGCCACACTGTTCCATCACGATTGGTACAGACAATGCTATACTGATCCAGAGACATTTACAATGATGTTGGAATCTCAGGCATGATGGTGGCCTCAGAGGGGAAACATCATGAGGCCCTTTTATCACTACCTGCCTCCTCCACCCACAACTGGTATGATCCACCCAAGAATCCAGTGCTCCCCTCCAGGACCTCCCTAGATCCTCCCCAGAATTGTGCTGTGGGGTAGTCTCAGGCAGGGGTAGGGAGACAGCTCTCCTGACACTGGTACAATAAGGGAGACTTCTCCCCATCTCCCTTTTCCATTGCTAGCTCAACTGGCCAAGAAATTCAGGCAGCTGGCCCTAGAGCCCTCGGTAGGTCGGGGTGCAAATCCCCCCAGAATCTCCTCGCCACTACAAGGATAGACCCTACCTGCTGGAAGTTCCATCCACGCTGGGGTCAGGGAGCAAATCCAGAGTCTGAGAAACCAGAGGGTCCTAGAGACACAGAAGAGAGAGCCCCCCAGTGGCCAGAGAGTCTCAGCTCACTGCAGATCTACTATATGCCTGGGACAAGCAGGCAGCTTAGAGCAGGAAGAGTGGCCACCAAAATTTGCCAAATCCCTTCACCAGTTGACTGTGCTCTTTCTTGTCTATAAATGGGCATTTCAGTAGCACCCACCTCACAAGACTTTAACAATTGAAGAAACAGTGCATGTAAATGCATAAGCAGAGGGCTCAATCAATTGACATTGCTGCTACTGTTGTTGTTTCATGGACCCATTTTTACAGAAGAGGAATCAGAGATTCAGAATCAAAGGATCAGCAACTTGCTCCAGTCCCACAGTAAATTAGGTAAGTGTCATAGTACAGGTGACAGCAAAGCCTGGAACATGGTAGGTTTGCAGCCATGAGCTCAAAGGCTCAGCTATTCAGTGTGGTCCAGAGACCTGCATCATCAGTGTCACCTAAGAGCTTGTAAGAAATGCAAAATCTCACATCTCTGCATAAAAATCCTGACTCATCATTGCATCTTAATAGAACTACAGGAGATTGGTATACATTCCTTCAAGTTTAAGGTTTGCTTTAAGATTCCCAGCTTGAGGCTTTGCAGGGTGCTGGCAGGGGACTCTCTTAACAGCTCTAATTCTTTCTTTTTTTTAAAAGTCTTCCAAGTTTTTATTATTTTAAACAATGAATATCTTTGAACATACAAGGGTTTTGTTAGTTTTTTTAAATTCATATTATTTTCTTTTTTTTATTAAGTCATATATACATAGATCATTAATACATTTGGCATAAAAGACATTTATGCCTTTGTGGGATTCAATGTGTTGATTATTTGTACAAATTGGAGTGCTTACATCCTAATAATTAACATAGCTTTCATCTCATTTACTAATCACAGTGTTAAGACATTTATTTGTGTTCTATACTTGATAGATTTGACTTATACCCTTGTAATATGCTCCATAGGTGTGGTCCCACCATTAACCCTCCCTCTACCAGACCATCTCCCTCCCTTTCTATTCTCCTCCCCTTCCCTCCTTCATCTTGGGCTATAGTTGTGGTTCATCTCTCATATGAAAGTGTGAGTGAGTGATTAATTATAAATTGGTTTTATAGTAGTACTGAGTACATTGGATATTTTTTTTCCATTCCTGAGATACTTTACTAAGAAGAATATTTTCCAGCTCCATCCATGTAAACATAAAAGAGATAAAGTCTCCATCTCTTTTAATGCCACATAGTATTCCATGGTATACATATACCATAATTTATTAATCCATTCATGGGTCGATGGGCACTTGGGCTTCTTCTATGACTTGACAGTTATGAACAATCTGGTGCAAATATCTTTTTGCCAAGTGATTTTTGGTCTTTTGGATATACTCCTAGTAGAGGAATTGCAGGATTGGCAGGTCTACATTTAGATCCCTGAGTGTTCTCCAAACTTCTTTCCAAAAGGAACGTACTAGCTTGTATTCCCACCAGCAGTTCAGAAGTGTTCCCTTTTCTCCACATCCATACCAACATCTGTAGCTTCGGGATTTATGCTGTGGGCTACTCTTACTGGAGTTAGATGATATCTCAAAGTGGTTTTGATTTGTATTTCCCTGATGATTAAAGATGATGAGCAGTTTTTCATGTGTCTGTAGACCATGCACCTGTCTTCTTCAGAGAAGCTTCTGTTCATGTCTCTTGCCCACAATGAAATGAGATCACTTGTTCTTTTCTTATTAATAATTTTGAGTTCTCTGTGGATTCTGGTTATTAGACCTCTGTCAGAAATATAACCCGCAAAAATCCTCTCCCATTCTGAGGGCTGTCTACTTGCTTTACTTACTGTCTTCTTGGCAGTGCAGATTCTTTTTAGTTTGATCAGGTCCCAGTAACATATTTTTGATGTTGCTTCTATTGCCTGGGGGATCCTCCTCATAAAGTATTCTCCCAGGCCAATTTTTTCAAGTGTTTCCCCTGCACTTTCTCCAAGAACTATGAAACTCTGAGAAAAGAAATAGCTGAAGATGTTAACAAATGGAAAAATATACCATGCTCATGGCTGGGAAGAATCAACATTGTTAAAATGTCTATACTACTCAAAGCAATCTACAGATTTAATGCAATCCCATTAAAGCACCTCTGTCATACTTTAAAGATTTGGAAAAATTAGTACTTAGTTTTATATGGAAACAGAAAAAACCTCAAATGGCCAAGACATTACTCAGAAATAAAAACAAATCACGAGGAATCATGCTACCAGACTTCACACGATACTATAAATCTATAGTGATCAAAACAGCATGGTATGGCACAAAAACAGAGAGGTAGATGTATGGAACAGAATTGAAAACCAAGAGATGAACCCAGACACTTATCATCATTTGATCTTTGATCAGCCTATCAAAAATATAAATTGGGGGAAAGACTCCCTATTGAACAAATGATGATGGGTGAATTGGATGGCGACTTGTAGAAGACTGAAACTGGACC